GTTCAAAATGTCTTATTGTTCCTGACTAATATGTGGAAATCTTGTTCACTTACCTATAAATCTTGTTAGGAGCAAGACCTAACCCACCAATATCTCATTTGGAGGCCATGGGAACCAATTGAGTCTAGCTTTGTAAAATGCTAAGTGAGCTCTTGGGGGCTGTCATCTTTTTGGTCATGTTTTGCCTGTTTGTTTAAATCATGTTTTCCCTTCTCCAGCTTGTTTGCCATTTTGACTCTTTTTATAATCCTAAATTTTTTACTTGTTTGAGGCTTTCCATGTGCTTCCTCTGGCTTTGGCAAATAAGCAACCTTCCCTGTGAGGAAGTTACCATTTTTTCCTGCCTCTTCGACCAGAAGAGGCAACTCTTCTGTCTTGTCTCTTTCTTCTGCCCCCAACTTCCAACTCCTGGCAAAAATCTGTTTTTTTTGTTGAGTCATGTGTTTATTTAAGGAGAAGTTAAGCTTCTTGTATTAAGGAAAATAATAGTGTCTGATTGGTCAGCTGCAGGGACTTCGTTGTCCTTAGCCTTTGCCAATTACTTGAATGCTTGCCCAATGAACATTTTTAGAATTTTATTAAATTAAGAATATAATACCATATACACTGTGGAAGCTGTTACACTGCCTTAAGAATAAGACACACAGCATACTTTCTAGTGCTGAAAATTTGTTTTTACATTTATGAATGACCTCATGGAGCTCATTACTGGTTTGCAAGCATTCTCAAGAAGCCTGGTGCCAGGTAGTTTGGCTTGTGAAACCTAGCTTGAACTGCAACGCAGACCACACCACTCCCTCCCATTTCCAGTTTAAGATAATGCAGTGCAAGAACTGTGTGTGACTTGGCATTTGATGACCAGTCTGTTAAAAAACAAAACTGCAACTCAAATCCTGACTCTAGTTCTATTAGATGAGGTGCCTGTATTAAATACACCCTCTCTCTCTCTCTCTGGAAATAGTTCACTGAACCAGATGTCAGAATTAATTACCTTTGGAAGAGCAGTGTTGGCTTTGACCATGTATGCTGAACAGGTCCTTCTGCTTTCAGTTCCCAGTGGGTCGTATCCATAGACACTTGAAGACTCGCACCACAAGCCATGGACGAGTTGGTGCTACTGCTGCTGTGTACAGTGCTGCAATTCTCGAATACCTCACTGCTGAGGTAGGTTCTGAAAATTGATCTTGTTAGACTACGATCTGAATGTAATCACAGACCCAGATAATAGATTGGTCTGTGGAGCCTGGCAGGAACCTCCAGAGTAGCATAACCTAGCTGCTCCTGCTCTCTTTAAAAACCTGTGTTTTAGCTGCATAGATCAAATAATTCTGCAAGAGCTTTAATGGTTAACATACTCTATTGATTATGTTTTCTCTCTGGCTTAGTTTTTTGCATGGTTGAGTTTGGGGTAAGTATGTGTTTCTGCTAAATCCAGAAAAAAAGAATTGCTTTCTTGCCCTACACTTTTAATTTAGTTGTTTACTTTCCATCTAACATATTCCTGAGATGGGGTGGGGCGGGGAATATGACACACATTAGAACACTGTGAGGAATAGGGGTGTGTGTGTGTGTGTGTGTGTGTGTGAGAGAGAGAGAGAGAGAGAGAGAGAGAGAGAATGAATGATTGAGAGTGATAATAAAATGAACTTGTGTGTTTTAGGTAAAGGCAGAATCTGAGCCAGAGGTTATTTGCAGTTCTGAACACTTGATACATTTGTATCCTGAATATGAAAGCAAAACATTTTATGGGAAAAGCTCACTACCTATGGGGGAAAACATGCAGCAAGGGGTGGGGAACCCTTTTCAGCTCAAGAGCAACCTTCTGTGCCAGTGGTGGGTGGGGGCCAGACAAAAGTGTGCTGTGCAAATAATGTAAATTTTACATGCTAAGACACCCTTCTTCATTTAGACAAAAAAGAAGCATTATCAGAATTCAAGGACATATTCCAGTCAGGCAAAAGCACTTGAGGTATGACACCAGGCCTATGAAGGGTGTGGCCCAAGAAGAATTGCAAGGGCCAGATCTCGATCTGGAACTGATGTCCCCCACCCCAACTTAAACTGACTTATTTGTTTAGAATACTGGTCCTACTTTATAGGCCCCAAAGGCTCTTGAAGCGGGTACTGAATTATGTGGAGTCATAAGCATAGAATTGTAGAGTTGGGAGGGACCATGAGGGTCATCTAGTCCAACCCCTTGCAGTGAAGGAATCTTTTGCCCAATGTGGCTCAAGATTATTCAGGCAGCACTGCTGCCCTCATCCTGGACCTTCCCTGATCAAGAAGAGAAATAGTTCCCACCAAAGTCATCTGAGGCAAGGGAGTAGGGCTGAGCCTGCTGGGTCATCTTCAAGGAATAGTAGTAGATGGTCATTTTTTAAAAAAGAAAAAGAAAATTTAGTTTTAGGTACCTGGGCTTTTGCCTTGAATCTACTAAATGTATGAAAAAAAGTAGTCTGTTGCAGTTTGTAACTTAGTTTTGAGCATTTTCAGTATTTCACTGTTCAGTATTTTCCTAGGAGGCTGGCATACAAAGCTCTGTTTCTTCCAACAGGTTTTGGAATTGGCAGGTAATGCCTCCAAGGATCTCAAGGTAAAACGTATCACTCCTCGTCATTTGCAGCTTGCTATTCGTGGTGATGAGGAATTGGATTCCCTTATTAAAGCTACCATTGCTGGTGGAGGTATGTAGTATTAGAGCTTCTGGAAAGCTTGGATATGAAAAGTATATTTGGAGACAGGGTGGCTGAACTTAAATGTATCCCTTTAAGTACTCTGCAGGATATTATAGGAAAGCAGTTTGCCAAGTGATAAGTAGAATCGTGATATGCTTCTTACCTGGATTTCTGATTATGCCAGGGTGTTTGGAAAACTGCTTATTTTGCTTGGCAGAATGTTACACAGTTGATTTACGTTGTAGTTGCATGTACTGCCATGGCAAGTTCTTACCACTGTATGAACCAAATGGGTACTTATCAGTATAGTTTTTAGTTCACTGACTTAGTAGTAGCTTTGATAGTGATGGGTTCTTGTATTTCATCCTGACTACTGTACTAGGCGCATCTGGTATAGAGTAGGTCTCCTGTAAACTGTTGTGTTTTTTGTTGTTGTTTTTTTTGGTGAGCATTCTAAGTACTCCTCCCCAATCATTTATAACTCTTTAATTGAGGCTCCAAACCAGGCCAGGGAATACAGTTCTGCTTCTCAGTATGTCCCAGTAAATCTTCACATCCATCTTGGTAACATGAGGGAACCTAACCTGAAGAACACAATCCAGATTATTCCCTCCTTCTCCCCACCCCCCACCCCAGAGTATAGTAATTCTGTATGGCACCATTTAGTTGCTTTTGTAACAAGAAAATTAGGCCTAGAGTCAACATTTGATCTAATACAGCTACATAGCTGCATCCCAGTTCCCCTCTTAGTGTGTTCAAGTGGATTTTTATTGAAGGGTTTGGTAAGCACAGTTCTAACAGAGTTAGCAAAATATGTTATTTGAGAATGTATTGATATGAGTGCTGAACTATTGTGTATTCTTCAGTTCTAACCCATTATTCTCTTTACAGGTGTAATTCCTCACATCCACAAGTCTCTGATTGGAAAGAAGGGGCAGCAGAAAACTGCATAGAGAGGAGTTTTAAACAGCCCTCTTCCTCCCTGTCATTGTACTGTAACTGGGGCAGAAGAAATATGGGGATATGTGGAATTTTTTTAAAAAAATAGTTAAATGGAAGAGCATAGACAATTGACTGTAGACTTAAAACATTTGTATGTTCTTTAGATTCAAAGTTTGACACAAAAGTACCTTGTTACGTGGCAGCAATTTGTGTGTTGATTGGCTAGGTTTCTCCCATGTGTTTTATACAAAAATGGAACTGATAAAACCATTTTTTACAAAACTTGTTCTTGTGTATCATTCTGGGGTAAAACCGCCATTGCAGCAAAAAGATCAGTGCCCTAATATCCTATTAGAGATTTTAAAATAAAATAAAATCTTTCCAAATTATAGACTTCAATGGTGGCCGTGTTCATAGTTAACTTCTGTGTTCTCTAGCTGATTGATTGTTGTTGATCTAATACAGCTACCACAATTATCTAAGTCCGGCATGTAATTTAAACTTAGTAGAATATACAGAGTTTAATGCAACTGAGGCTGCTAAAGCTCTCCCCCCGGCCCCAGGATAGAAGTACTGTCTGAACATGTGAACGGTGTGATAATGGGAAAGGTGTGGGGATGTGTATAGTAGGAAGAAGCCAAAAGGCATCTTTTCTGCCCTCAGCTGGTGAACTGCCCATGGGTTAGTTGCCTTGCGCTGAATTATGCTGTGTCCTTGAGCTAGCACAATCACTTTTGCCTCAGTGTCAATGCCTTCTTGTGCTATAATGTACAAAATTTTCTGTATCGCGGTGCTAAACCAGCAGCGCTGCCATGCTTTTATTAGCAACCTTGTCAGTGTGTGATTTGAGCCCTTTGTGTAGTAGTTCTTGGGCTGGCTGTGCATAAGAGTAAGGTTGGAGAACTAATAAACTACTGTAATGTTTTTAGCTCTTGTTAGGACTGCTTCATACAGTGCAATTTCAGGCAATATGGTGACAAATAATAATAACTGGAAGGTCTTCAATCCTATTCTCGTGTATTTGCTTGAGTGCCTTCCAGGTTCTTGGCATGCCTGAATCAGTTCTCAATCTGTATCCTGGGATTATTGTTTCAGATTGGGACAAACATTCACACTCACTCTGACATATATATATATGTTGTAACCTTTAAGCTAGGGCATTGTAGGAAATGAATGAGGCTCAATTATTCTCAGTTATATAGGACTCTGATTGTTTATCTGTTCCTCAAAACAAAAAAAATTCCTTCCAGTAGCACCTTAAAGACCAACTAAGTTAGTTCTTGGTATGAGCTTTCGTATGCATGCACACTTCTTCAGATACACACATGCACACGAAAGCTCATACCAAGAACTAACTTAGTTGGTCTTTAAGGTGCTACTGGAAGGAATTTTTTTTGTTTTGACTATGGCAGACCAACACGGCTACCTATCTGTAACTTATCTATTCCTGTTAGTGATGTGCATGGCTTTCATGAATTTCTGTCCATTGTATCCTGTTCTTTTTTTAAACAATTGTCAAATTGCTGGATAAGGCAAATAATGGTTTAGGTGGGTGATACATAGGGCAAGGCTATCAGTGGTTACTAGGCACCATGGCTGTGCTCTGTCTCCATAGCCAGAGATAGTAAAGCTTCTAAATCCCGGTTGCTGGAAACTACAGGAGGCGGGGAGTGTTCTTGTGCTTGTGTCCTGCTTGAAGATACCCTACAGACGTCTGGTTGGCCACTGAGAACAGGATGCTGGACTAGAGGGGCTATTGGCCTGATGTAGCAGGTTCTTACATTCTTCTGCAGTTGTTCATATGAATATTAGATTGGGAGTTTTGGTCATTAGTAATATGGATGGATGTTGGACAAACAAAGCCTAGTTTATTTTAGCATGCATGTGCCAACAAAAGAAGCCAGTGAATTGGACCTGGTTTTATTTCAGTTGCCCCTTTGCTAGAAGCTGTGCCATAATAGAGTAAGCACAATGGTAGAGGAAAGAAAATAAAGTGGTGCAGCACACTTGGTACTGAAGGCTGTAACTGGGCCAGTTAGTTACATGCAAGTGACATCCTTGGTACTCTTGGCCTACCCTAATCATCACTGTATATTTGACACTTCTCTATATTCCCTCATTGAGCATGCTCATTCTCTCTTGACAGATTATATCTTGTCAGTGAATGCATTTCTATTAGAAAGGACTTTTTCTAAGCAGATAGAGGAGGAAGGAAGACTTATGTATGTGAATCAATGAGAGGAGAGTGGATTGAAATGAAAATTGCCCTTTATTCTAGTTGATGGGCTGACTATAAGGACTTGATATATTTATAATAGATTCAAGATATCCAAATGGGTATATCAGACTTATCTGGCCTGTATTCAGTTACACAAGTCAGAACTTACGGAGTACAGTACTGTACTGTACTTCAGGAACTCTTGTCTTTGGAACTGCTGCCCTATGTTGAACAGAAAAGGAATTACTTGGCTTTCAGGTGTTGGGCATTAAGTGGATGGAACAAAGGTTCCTGCAGCTGGTTGTGTTGTGTGGGAATATTGGAGAGGCAGTAAACGCTGAGAACAGATGGCTTTTCACCCTTTTTTCACACAATTGCTGGGAATAGACGCCAAACAAGATGTGGATTATATTTTGGACTGCAATTCCCACTAGCCTCAGCCAGCAGGGCTAGCGGTGAGGGATAATAGGAGTTGTAGTTCAAAGCATCTGGAGGGCACCAGCTTGGGGAAGGCTGGCCTAGAATATAGCATTTCCTGGGCACACAGCTGCAGAGGATATAGCTCCACTTGCTGTGATTTTTTTTTGTCAAAGCTCTCTTTCCAGTCTCCAGTGTGAAAGCTACTTCTGTTGTGCTGTTTTCCTCTAAACATGTGTACCACTGAGCAAAGCCCATATTGATAGAGCTCTTTTCCCAGCCCAGTCAAAAGAAGAGAGTACAGACCCCTACCACAAAAAACTTTTTCTAAACACCTGGAGGCCATTCTCTGATTTTTCTCTGTCCCAACAGAGCAGCCCTGTAAGCCCCAGAGCAGAACTTAGCACCAGTTGAACGTTCGACCCACCATGGCAAAGAAGTTCTCGTTGTGCTCACTGAAGTAGGTGCAGAGTTGCTCAAGCAGTACTTCATCAACGGTGGGATGAGGTCGTCCTTTGGATTGGTCTAGGCAGTGCTGATACCCTTTTGCTTGTAGGCAGTAGAAGCCCTTGGTCTGGTTGAAGTAAAAGTTGTCTGGGCCAAGGTAAGGCTCCAGTCCCAAGAAGTGCTCTACGTGGCGCATCTCTGAGAGAGGCTCCCGGATCAGGGTGCCTCCATCCACCACGTGAATCTGTGACCGGGGAAAGAACTCCAGCCACCGAGCCAGGTGTAAGGCATACAGGCTGCGCTGCATGGCTTTGTACCGGGTGTTAAGTTCCTGGCCCTGCCTCAAGAGAATCTGCTCTAGAGCTTGGTAGGGCTTGTGCCGTGCCTTGCGGTTGTGAAGGATTTGTGTGTAATCAGACACCAACCTTTCCACAGGGTCCCGTACAATCAGCAGGAGCTTCATTGAGTTGTCCATAGCATGGATCCTTTCCGGGGCTTTGAGAGACGAAAAATAGCCTGGTGTCTTTTCCACGGTGATTTGAGTGGGGTGTGAAATAGGCATCTGCTGACTGTACCAACCAAGTCCTTTGCGGTAATTCTCCTCCACATTGAAGAAATGCACCTCGGACTGGGCAGCTGCCACCTGGGGATGCAGACTCAGCATCTCCAGCAGGGCCCGTGTGCCTCCTTTCCGCACTCCAATAATTATGCTTTGGGGCAGTCGTTGCTTCCAATCTTCACTTGAGACCTGAGTGTTGTTTCTTTTCCATGGGGCTTTCCAACCCCAGGGGATCTTTGTTTCCTCCTCCGTGTTGATTCCACACATCTTCAGAAGCAGGAGCAGTAAGCAGGCTCTAGCCATCTCTAAGTCCGCTGAGTGAACGTGTGCTGAGGAAAGCTGTGTGTTGTTTTTCCTATCTGAGCTATTCCATCTCCAGGCTTATTAACTGGGATTTCACTGCATGCAGGCAGTTGTGCTCTTACCTAGGCATCTTCTGTCTTCACAATGGCCTCTGCTTTTGTTCTAGTTCTGGATTCCGCTGCCAGGAGCTTCCTGCAATGTGGATCTCCAAAATCACTTCAACAAAAGGTGATTTGCTTACGAACAGCCTAGCTCAGGGAAGTTGCTGCCCCCTGAGAAAATGAGAATATCATTGTGGGTGGCTCAAAAGGTGCTGAGCAAAGCAAAACATAACAGGCCTTGTTTGGAAACTTTCATAATTTAAGCATACACACACACATGTGAATGAATAAAATCCAGGTACCCATTAGCCACTTCTTCCTAAAATGGGTTTGTATCTAGTCCCTAGTAGGTACCATCTTTTTCTAATGGAAGAGGAGGGACACAGTTTGGCAGGTGGGACAGAATATAAAGTAAAGGTAAATGTACCCCTGCCCGTACGGGCCAGTCTTGACAGACTAGGGTTGTGCGCCCATCTCACTCAAGAGGCCGGGGGCCAGCGCTGTCCGGAGACACTTCCGGGTCACGTGGCCAGCGTGACATCGCTGCTCTGGCGAGCCAGAGCCGCACACGGAAATGCCGTTTACCTTCCCGCTAGTAAGCGGTCCCTATTTATCTACTTGCACCCGGGGGTGCTTTCGAACTGCTAGGTTGGCAGGCGCTGGGACCGAGCAACGGGAGCGCACCCCGCCGCGGGGATTCGAACCGCCGACCTTTCGATCGGCAAGCCCTAGGCGCTGAGGCTTTTACCCAGCGCCACCGCGTCCCGGACACAATATGGAAGGTTACAAATGTTAGTAAGGGAGTAGCCAGCTGCGGTTTATTTAAATGCATTTAACCTACAAATAAGCCTGCTCCACCAGATTAAGGTTCCAGTGTTGCTTCCAGTGCCCCACTACTGGGGCTTGAAGGCAACACGGTCTTCTTCTGTTTCTATCCAGCATTCAGGGTTTGGCTGCCTCTGAAGATGGGAGTCCTAATTAGCAGTTGTGGCTCATAGCTGTTGATAGTGGCTTCTCGGTTAGGAATTTGCCTAATCCCCTAAAAGCCATCTAAGCTAGTGGCCATTCTACATCTTATGTCTACAAATTATGTGTTCAGTAAAATAAAATGCCATGCTGGTAGCAAGCATGAACTACCAGAAAGTTGGGGAGAATATCCTGTGCCCAGGTTTTTATTTTTTCTTCCATTGAGATAGAGCCCAGATTTTGAGATTTACAGCTGGCCCCCCAAAATCATTGGCACACTGCAGCTGTCAGATATGCACAAAAGTCACAATCCAGAGAATCATGCACGTGAAAATTGGCACCGTGTGCAGAATTTGGCACACATTTCTTAGCATAATGGAGGGCGTTGCAAAACCAATGCATGCATCTACTGGGACAGCTGTATTTGCATGCTTATTTGTATCTTTATACAACCAGTACAGTAAGTCACACCAAATCACCCAAGTCTTGCACTTTTCATACCCTGTCATATGTTTGAATTGCAGCTGTGGTGCATTTATGGCACAGACTTGTTATGCTGGAATTGCCCACAGTTTTCTCTGTCTTCAGCACCCCTCAGTCAGATGAGTATACAGAGCACAGAGATGTGCACTTTTTGGGGTCTGGATGCAGAAAACACACAGCAGTGCTGGCTAACTGGATGGCACACTGCTGCTATGGCACAATTAATTAAGTATATACCAGAGAGCGGGATGCCTGAGAATTTCAATATTATTTTGAATGAAAAGAAAAGCAGGTCTTGTTTGTGTTTATCCATGAGAAGAAAAAGCAGATCTGAGTGTGTGCAGGCTCTGTAAAAGGCTGTGTTTCTCTTGGGCTGGAGTGTCTCACTTGTCCCTTCTCACAGCCCTGGGTTTCTATGCCCAAAGCCCCATATCATGGTTAGATGACCTGCACCTCAGTGCTAAAATTCTGCAGTCTACAAATTAAACAATTTTGCACAATTTCTCTTATTTTGCATGTGCTGCATAGTAATGTAAAACAGCTTGAACATGTTTATTATGTGAGGAAGGGAGGTGGCCTAAACCCTTGGAAATCTCGCAAGGGGCCTTTCTGGGCATTGTGCACGTTTCTCCCAGATCTTTGCTATGACCAGGCCTAGAAACTAGAGTCACCATCCAAGCCAAAGTTTTAGCACCATTCAGGGTCATGCTGCTTGGATGTCTGAGCTAAAAAACTTTAAGTCAGAAGTGAGACATGGTTTGGGGTGGGGGGGGGTTCCCCTGGTGGGTTTTCTGCTTAAAATCTCCCCTGCCCTGCAAAAATAAAAAAAATAAAAAATCACCCTAGAATGAGGAAGTCTATAGGTGCCTATGACTTTTCCTTAAGCAGCTGGGGTGGGAGGGTGTGTGTGCTCATTACCACATGAACTTTCCACCTTTTAGACAATTGCACTCTGGTTTCATTTTTTAAAATAAATTTTAAATTCTGTCTTTGCGAAGGATGGCAGAATATGTAGTTAGTTGGCTGGGGAAACCCACCCAGATGGGTGGTGTATAAATATTATTATTAGTTAGTTTAGTTAGACAATTAATGCCTGCATACATGCCTGCTTCATATGACCATGGTTGATCTTTGACCATCCTCTTGATTTATATAGAGGAGTCATGCCCATAACTCAAAAGGTACTTATCTTGAGTTGGTTTAAATGCAAACAGATTTTCAGGATGCTGAATTCTGGGAGAGGGAGCTGCTGTTGCATGGAATTGTAGCTCGCAGGCACCCCTTGCTGGTTTCTAGGCAAAGGGGAATCTCTGCTGATCTCCACCAATCCTATTTATCTCCCTAGTTTTGAACCTTTGCTCGGTCTGAAGCTCTTTGGGTGACTGTCAGTCATATTCAGCCTCGTCTACCTCACAAGAGTGCTGGGAACATGGAGGAAGGGAAGGTCTTCTATTACACTATGACTACAAACACACACACATCCTAGGCTGGTGTGTACTGAGCTGATCGTGCAGATAATGGACCTGCCTTCTCCCCACCTCATAAGAATGTTTCAGCTCTCCTTCCTCCTAAATGAGACTCAGGAGGCTGGAGCTCAGGATTCTTGGTGTGTGCATCTGTCTAAATTCCTCTCCAGGGCCTGACGTGGCGTCACTTGGTGCCATACTGCTGCTCTAAACAGTTTGATGAACTCTGCTGGAAGACTCCAGGGGCAACTCCAGTTCCCTGCACACGTTTAACTGAGCTCTGGCAAATTTCGCACTGCAGCTGCCAAGTGGCTGCTTCCTGGGGCTCTTGCAAATGAAGGCAAGATTACTGCCTGCTGCTAATCAACGGGTGTAAATGGCTGTGCTCATACACTGTGCTCATACAGTTCAATGCATGTCAACAGGTCTTTTGCAGGAGACCAGATTTGAATCCACTCTGCTGCACTCAGCCCACACCCCAGCTTTCCTGCCTGACATGGTTGCCTCACTTTGCTTAAAAGGAGGACTGTGGGTCTCTGCAATTTCCCTGCATTTCGATGGGGCTTGCCCAGAAGAACCTCTCCATGGATTGTGTCATCCCCACAAAGGCAAGTCTCTCAGTCTCTCGCTCTGCCATCCCTTAAAAGAACAAGCAGCCTGTAGTGGTAGACCATATACTTGGCATGCAAAATGCCCCAGATTCGATCCTGTCTTCAGATCACAGGATCTCCAAGAGCAGCATAGAGGGAGGAGGTCTTTGAGGTCTGCCACCAGTCAGGCAATTTTACTGTGTTGGAGAGACCAACAGGTCAACTTGCTGGAAACCTGCAGCAGGCATGAGGAACCTTTGGCCCTCCAATGTGTTGCGGAACTCCAGTTCTCATCATCCCAGGCTGTTGGCCACACTTGGTGGGGCTGTTGGGAGTCGAAGTCCCTCAACATTTGGAGGGCGACAGGTTCCCCACACCCATTCTACAGTGTTACTTGCGTTGACTGGAAGAAGTTGCCAGGTTGTCAAGATGAGGCTGGCAATGGGCTTGGGCCATTCTGCATGTGACGATGTGCTCAGCCATTGAGAGATGGCTTTCTCCACGCAGCAGGGATAGCGAAAATGTGACCTAACCAACTCCCCCATCTTCCCTAACCATTGGCCATGACTGGCAGCAGCTGGAATCCAGCGCTACCTGGAGGGCAGCAGATTCCTACTCTCTGCCCTATAGGAACATATGAAGTTGCCTTATGCTGTTAGACCATTGACACAGCTAGCTCAGTGCTGTCTTTGCAACACCAGCTGGAAGTGGCTCCCTTGGGCTTTAGACATGGAGTCTTTCCAAGCCCTCCCTGGAGATGCTGAGGACCTAAAGCACATGCTCTACCACCAAGCTACAGCTTTTGCCTGTATATTCATGCGGGCCCTGGTGGCTGCCAACTATGCGCTCTCACTACAGGGGCACACAAGCCAGTCCTGTTGGATGTCATGACCTGTTGCTGCTACTGCTACCTGCCCCTGCATGTGGGCAACAAGGTGGAGTGACTGATGGCAATGGACACTGTTTGGAAGTTGTTTTCCTGGCACCTTGCTTTTCTGTAATGAGAAAGATCCCTCCAGTGGGGAATGATTTCCACTTCCTAAGACTTGCTAATGATAGAGTATGACATGTTTGGGGTCCCTGGGGCGGGCAGCTGGCGTACCAGGGGTTGCCAGGGCAACCAGAGCTGCAAAAAGGTGTAAGGGGACACCGAGAGGAAGGCAGGAGAGAAAAGGAGGGGAGTGTTTCTGAGGGAGATCTTTGCAGGAGAAGGAAGAAGGATTTGAAGGATGGCTGATGGACAGGGAGGGCAGCGCTTCCTAAACACCAGAAGGCCGGTGTGACATAACAGGCCACCAGGAAGAGGCAAGCCAGGTGTAAAGGAGGACAGGGGAGCATGCAGCATTTCTGCAGGCCTCAGCTCAGCAGCAGAGCATCTGCTCTGCACGCTGAGATCCCAGGTTCAATCCCCAGCATCTCAGGTAGGGCGGGAAAGACCCTTGCCTGAAACCCTGGAGAGTCCCTGCCAGTCAGTGTAGACAATACTGAGCCACATGGC